CCTAAGGGAGTTCAGCTCTTGCTTGGAAGTCAGCATGTTGCCGAACATCATGAAAGGAAAAATGCTCTTTAGATTGGCTCCCCCCCCTCCTCCCCGCCAACTGTACCCAGAGGGGGAGGCTATTGTGGTCATTAGCTTTTCCTGCATTAAATCTGCTTGGTGTGACTAGGCCATTTGATTTCGGGTTTATCCTGAAGCCACAGAAATTGAGTTGCTAGGTATTTACTTGGGATTAATGGCCAGTTAGGGGAAGCTGTGCTTTATACCATTAACCCGAGCCAGGTGCTAATTCCTAGAACATGCCCTGTAAGCAGAGGTTATTATTGCTATTTGAAACTGTGAATGCTACCTTAGAGACTACAGGCTTTATTTAAAGAGGAAGCCATTTTGATTGGTCAACATGGCATATTTCTGGAGAACTGATGCCCTGTGTATAAGCCAATCTGATTGCCTGGAAACATCTCCCAGTGCTTGTGCTGTTCAGCTGATAATCCACTTCTAGACATGGGGCAGCCGGCTGGAAACTGTAGCAGGTTCTATTTTTGGCACCTAAAATCAATGCCCCACTCTGGCAGCCTGGTCTGTTGCCTCATTATCCCCCCACCCTGACCGGTGCGCTGAGCACAGCTTCTCTTTGCGGGAGATTAAAGCGAGTCAGGGAATGTGATAAATGCTTTCAGTCATATCTACTGTCATTTGAATAATACTAGGTGTCAGGAAGAAATACATCCCTGGCCTGTTGTAGCCAACCATGCTCTTTTGATTCCGTCTTTCCACGTTAGTGCAGCAAGAAGCAGCTACTGCGAACACTACAAACCTCTCCTTCCACAGGTCAGGTTCATACCTTCAGGCTGGCTTGGATGGTCTCTCTGGAAAGATTCTTTTCATTTTATCCAGCAAAATCCTACTTGCTTGGGGAGGGGCATCTCCTCTATTTACCAGAAGAGAAAGTCCTTCCATTTGGCAGAACCTTCTAACCTTTTGGAACACGACATCACATTTTCTAACTAAATCTCGATCTGTATCTGTTTAAATTGGCCTCGGTGAATATGCTGATCCATGGTTTGGTTTTTCTGCTGACAAAAGAGGCAGAAAAATGAAGGTATGGTTAAAAGGCACGATTGGATGAACAAGTAGCATATGAGGCATGCGTTCTGGCGCTCCCTCTCAAGTCACACCATACTGTGACTGTCTACACTGGCTTCTTGTGCATTCAGACCCAGCCATGGCAGCCCTGAGGCAGGCCAAGTGGGTCTATGGTCCCCCCGGGGTCTCCCTTTAGAGGCTCTTTGCCACATAGGTGAGTTTTTCTTTGCCCCTCCTTTCTGTAAGTCAGGGTGCCTCAGTCCTCTCTCCCCTTTCTCCTCTGAGACCAGATCATGGGGAGGGATCTGATGGATTTGTTCTTGATGTCATGTTGATGGCAGGAATTATCACTGGGTAGTGGAAGACTGGCTGTCCTCAAATGCCAATGGGGTTGAGTTGTCTGGTCATTTAAGACCTATGAATGGCTCTCAGACACTGGGATGTCAGGCATTCTTGGATTCCAAGGCTGAATGCCTAAGGGCTCTGCTGTGTATGCTGGTAAGTTGACTCTCTGAGAAAAGAAAGCCCTGATTTATAGCTTTTGCTAAGTTCAGTGGTGTAACTGTTGCCTTGGTGGCTGATTTCAAGCCCCCAGCATAAAGTCACTAAACTTGAAGTTGGAAGGCTCCTGTTGAGCCACTGTGAGCCCTTTCCTGGCCCTTTTTGGGGGAATTGTTCAGTGTGGGTTTTGCATTTGCTTCTCTATAGCTTTCTGATTTTACTGGAGAGGAGATAGAGTGGTGTTAAGGTTTAGACAGACAGCCTTCGCTTTGAATCCTGAATCTCTCCATTGCATACCAACTTTATGATTTTGGACAACTTAACATCACGGAGCCTTTATTTCTTTGGCTATAAAATAAGTATAATACATAACACTCAGAGGTGTTCTGAGAATGAAATTTTATAAAATATGTGAAAGAAGCCAGCACGTTAGTGGCTCAAAAACCGTTTTTAGAATCTGCCTTTTATTTAGTAATACAATGTCTATCCTATTTCTTGACTTCTGTTTAATCCTAATAGAAAAAAGTAGGAAATAGCCATCATTGAGGACATCTAGAAATAGCCATTTGCTTCTACATAAGGAGGCTGGATTATTCCTTTCTCTGGTTTTTTCTTAGATCTATCCTGATCCTTGGTAAATCTCTGATGTGGAACTTAGTTGCGAACAAACATCCTTCCTTTTTTGGGTGGTGATGTATATGACAAATATGATTATTTCTCCCTCTTCTTGCCTGAAAGATAACTCTGTATCATGGTCTTGGCAATTGCTCTATTTATTTTTCAGAACTATCCAGTACTTCCATGAGAAGATTTTGCTTTTCAATAAAGAAAAGCAGTTTTAGTCAAGAGAATGGATAGAATAGCTGAAGTCCTTTCACGCTACTGCATGTTAGAGACTATGCTCAGCCTTTTTAAAGGATTGTCTCATTTGAGCCTCACAACAACTCAATGAGATGGGCACTATTATCTCATTTTACAAGTAAAAAACGTGAGACTTAGAAATGTTAAGTAATTTGCTCAAGGCCACAAAGCTGCAGAGTGATTAATCTTTAATTATGGAATTTCAAGCATCAATGAATTTGTGCATGAGGCAAATTGGTGAAAAAGAAACCTCTTTAGGATTCCAACAATCAAGACTCATGAGTAGTCTTTGTAGGGCTAACTGTATTAATATTTGAGTATAATAAGCCCTTGGAAGGCAGGAATCATGTTCTATTCATCACCATATCTTCCCATCAGTACTTGCACACACTTTGGACAAAGTAAGGGCTCAGTAAAGGATTGTTGAGCTGAACCTTTAATTTACTCAGTAAGTTTTCATAAAACACTTATTGTGTGGTAGATACTTGTCTAGGCATTAGAGTTTGCATAGTAGAAAAACCAAAGTCAGACAAAATTCCTTGTTCTTGTAGAATTTATATTCTTTTAGAAAGAGACAAAGAATATAATTTACTCAAACTATTTCATGTATTAGAAGATGATTGCTATAAGAAAGTAAGGTAGAATAAAGGGGAAGGGAAATTGGCGAAGGGGAGTTCAATATAACTATGGCATTTGAGTAAAGATCTGAAAGAGCAAAAGAGTTAGCCATGTGGACTCATAAGCAAGAATGTTCTAGACAATGAGAAGGCCCTGAGGTGGAAGCACATTTAATTTTTTTTTTTTTTGGTATTGCAAGGAAGCCTCTGTGGCTGGAACAGAAGGAGCAAAGAGAAGATGAGTCAGAGTTGGGAGGTGTCCATTTTGCAGGGCCTGTGGGGACTTTGGCTCTTACTGTAATAAAATAGAACATGATAGAGATTTTTGAGACAAGCACCAGTGAACTTACATCTTTTGTTTATTGATTGATTTTTTTCACAGAGTATTTTCACTGCTCTAAAAATTCTTTATATTCTGTCTATCCATCTCCTTTCCCCAACCTCTGGCAACCAGGATGTCATATAATTAGAATCATACAATACATAACCTTTTCAGATTGACTTTTTTCACCTCATAGTATGTATTTCCTTTATGTCTTTTTAGTACTCGTACACTTTTAACATATCGATCGGTCAGAAAAGTCCTATCAAAGTGGCCTTGAAGAACACTTGCCAGCCTTGACATCACAGGGGCTGCAACATTGCCAGATATCCATCTGACCTAACATTGACTGTCGTGTTGAGTGTAGACTACAGAGAGGAAAAGGCTGAAGGCAGGAAGACCAATTAGGAGACCATCATAATAATCTAGGTAAGTAATAATGGTGGCTAGGACCAGGGAGGTAGAAATAGAGTTAGTAGAATTTGAAAGACAGTAGTCAAAAATGATTCTGAACAGCTGGAAGTTTGGGGTTGCCATCATCTGAGGTAGAAAGACTCCCAATGGAGCAGGTTTTAGAGGCAAGATCAGAATTACAATTCTAGACATGTTAAATTTAAGATGTCTGTTGGGGATTTGTCTAGTGGGCAGCTGGGTGTAGGAACTAGAGTTCAGAGGAAATGATTAGGATGGAGATTTTTAAGATAATTTGGAGTGATCAGCATCTGGGTAGAACTTAAAGCCAAGAGATTGGAAGGGAGCCCCAAGAAGAGAAGGTTTTCAAGGTATTCAAGAGAAGGTATTCAACCCTTTGGCTCTGAAGTTGGGGAAAAGAACAAGAATTTACAAAGGATAATAAGAAAGTGTGGTCAGAGTTTGGAGAAAAATCAGAACTAAAAGGTGTCCTGAATAAAAATGGAAAAAAAAAAAAAAAAAGTGCATCTAAGAGAAAGTAATGAACAACTGTGTTAAATGATGCTGATATATCTTTTTTTTTTCAATTTATGGGGACTCAGGTTGGTTTCCTTACAACACCCAGTGCTCATCCCAAAGGTACCCTCCTCAATACCATCACCCACCCTCCCTCCCTCCCACCCCATCAACCCTCAGTTTACGTTCTCAGTTTTTAACAGTCTCTTATGCTCTCTCACTCTAACCTCTTTTCCCCTCCCCCATGGGTTTCTATTAAGTTTTGGACTCCATTTTGCAAGGTGAAACCATATGAGGTATCTATTCTTTCTCATGTATTTTACTTAGCATCCACTCTCCAGGTTTCATCCACGTTTGCTACAAGGGGTAGCATATTTCATTCATCTCATTTATACCACATAGTACTCCATTGTGTATATAAACCACAATTTCTTTATCTCAATATCATCAGTTGATGGACATTTAGGCTCTCCTGTGGCTATTATTTGAAATTTTCTATAAGCATTGGAGATTTTAGTGCCCCCTTCATAATATTCCTGTATCCTTGGGTAAATTCCTACCTAGCAGTGCTATTGCTGGGTTAGGGTGGAATCTATTTTTAATTTGAGAGGAACCTCACTGTTTTCCAAGTGGCTGCTGCTGGTGCATTCCCACCAACAGTGCAAGAGGGTTCCCATTTCTCCACATCCTTGCCAGCATCTATAGTCTCCTGATTTGTTCATTTTGGCCACTCTGACTGGCGTGAGGTGGATGCTGATATATCAATTAAGGTGAGAACACTTAACCTAGGCTTCAGCAACATGGAAGTGACTGGTGACCTTGACATGAGCAGCTTCAGTGGAGTTTTAGCAGCAAAAGCCTCAGTGGAATGAGTTTAGGAAAGGATGGGGTAAGAAAATTGAAAAAAAAAACAAAACTTCTGCGAGAAAACATAATTTCATGATTTAGGATTAGCAAAGTTTCTATTGCAAACATGTCAGCAAAGTGATCATGTTGTGTCATATGGTATATATGTATGTTATATATGTGTATCTTTATTAGAAAATTCAAATCAGCAAATTATGGTTTTGTTAAATATCCTAAAAAACAGCTTGTCAAGGTTCACAACACATAAGAATGAAGTATTTGGGATTTTAGCTGGTGTTAATGGAATCTAAGAATGAGTTTGTAGATAATTGAAATTATTACATTATTGGTGATTCCAATCTAATAACATTGTACTCTTTTATGTATTTAGATATTCTTCAATGAATCTCAAAATTTATGTATAATTTGTTTCATGTGATAGAAATGTATATGAACTCTTTCTTAAAGTTATACCAATCTGTATACCTGCCATTAGGTGTGACTACCAAGCAACATAAATTTGTGATAAAATAGGGATTTTATTTTTCTCATTACATTAAAAATATATCATCTTATATTAAAAAAATTGAATAGAGAGACAACTTGCAAGGAGTTTTATTATAAAGGGGAGCAGACATGGGACTGCAGCTGGAGGGGAAGAGGGACTAAAAACAAGTTTATTATCATTATCTCTTAAGTTGGAGAAGTAGCAAGGTGCTTTATGCTGATAGGGAAAATACAGCAGAGATGCAAAATGGATGATGAAAGAGAGAGGCAGGTTATATGTCCTTGTAGGAGAGGGGAGATGGGATGCTGTGTGAATTAGGGGGCTGGCTGTAGGTAGAAGCATGGGCAGTTCATTCATAGTGACAGAAGGGAAGTCCAAGTATATGTGTATTATTTCTTCTAGGCTTCTTTGGTGAAAGATTGCTCAAAGATTATGTATTCTTCTTGTGAAAAGTGTGTGCATGTATTACAAATATGTGTGTATTACATATATAATACAATGTAAAAATTCCTCATTTGGGACATAATTTGTCTATATATACATACATACATATATACATATACTATATATATATCGCACTATACATATATATGTATATAGTGCTATTCTCTCTAAGGTGGAAAATAATAGCAAACAAATGAATTCCCATTCCAGGAGATTTCCAAAGTCTTCAGCAATACAAAGCCACTTAAAAATTGCCAACCTTTCACAGGTATATTGTTAAAGCTCAATTAGTTTTTCCCCCCTGTACCTCCCTGTATTAATTTAAAATGAAAGAGCAGTTAAGTATATTTAGGACACTTTATTGAAAGTGTTTTCCAATCAATGACTTTATTTATTTATTTATTTTTTTTAATAGGGTGAATCTTTGAAGTGAGTCAGCTGCAGCTTCGCTCTCCTATAATTGAAGAGAGAGAGAATTACAGAGAAAGAGGCCAGGCACTCTTTCCTCCAGACAAAGCTGTGGTGAGTAGGAGAATGAATTGCAAATGAGGAAGACAATAGGGAAGAGGGTTCTTTTATGGAGGGAGAGAGGGTGGGTATGGCAGAGAGGGCTCTTAATAATTGCAATCCAGGCTCAGAAAGCCCTTGGGGATGGGAGTAATTCTGCAGCCATCAGAGAAAAAGAAACCTTTGGAAAGTGTCGATCTCTGGACACTAAATTGTACAGTGTGGGTGCAACATCTGTGTCCTCACAGAATGGGCCTTGCTGAAAATGGATAGGAACAACAAATGCAGCCAGTTTATTAAGCACTCTCAATTAAGAAAGGTACAAACATGAAATGATTTTATTTTTCTACAGTTACTCTCCCAACCGTTCTATGCCAAATCTCCCTTCACTCTAGATAGATCCCTTAGTTCATCTGGGTCAGATTCCATAATTTCCCAGAGACTTTCACTTATTAAAAGGAAATACATTTTAAACTTTAATATCTCATTCAAAGTTTCCTTTGCTATCATTATATGCCAGGCTTATGACCAGGGAAATAGGAAGTGGGGAGGCAGATCATTCCAATGCAATGTCAAGCTGGCTGTCTTCTGGATGATTCAATATGTGATATGACCACTGGATCCCATGGTTATGGGTACCTCCCAGGACCTCCTTCATAGAGAAGGAGGGTCCCTTGGTTAAACACCATGTTGTGTGTGATTTCTGTTTATATTGGATGAACAAATGGCTACTCTAAGCCATTTTCTTCTACTTGCAGTCAACCTCTGATCTTTACTAAGGCACTTGGCCGTGGACAGTAGAGAACACCTCTTTCCCTTCCCCTACAGGGGACAGCCTGGCCCCCACCACTGGAGAATCTCAGTATAATGTGGAACAGTTACTGGCGTTCTGTCCTCAGCTCTGGTCTCTAGTCACCAGTTCTAGGGGAATAGAAATGGCAGTTTCATCTTGTAGTCAGTAAAGAATAAATGGACAGGAGAGCTTAAGGAGTCTGTGTTTTGTGCTATAAGTATATAGAAGTCTGCCCAGCTTGACTTCTTCGTTGGTGGTCATAGAGAGTAGAGCCCATCCTGAGTGTGAGCCACTTCTCTAGTAGCAAGGAAATAATGTGGGGGGGGGGGTAGGGTGATGTATTGGTGGGAAGAGCCCACATGGCAGTTATCAGGAAACCTAGATTAGAATCCAAGTCTGCCACATACTTACTGCTTGACATTGGGAAAGTCACATATCCTTTGTGAACTGTTTTCCTCATTTTCATTTTTGAAGTGGGTGGGTCACATTTTCCCCTAGGTGTCACAAAGGACTGTTTTGGGAATTAAGTTGGGTTTTGGGTATGCAAACACATTGTAAAATAATTACAAAAAAAAAAAAAAAAGTTTTCCAAAGGCAAAGGCCATATTCTTGTGAAAGGAAATGGCTGCCAAAGTTATTGTTGAGGGTCAAAGTTGATTGAACAATTGTACCTATTAGGCTATCCCTTCCACCTATCCACCCCCCCCCCACCCATCCATCCATCCATCCATCTGTTGGTTCATTCATTCATTTATTCACTCATTCATTCAATAATCACTAAGCCAGTATCATGTGCTTCTTGCTAGAGATGAATGAAACATGCCTCCTGTCTTCAAAAAAGTGACAATAGAGTGCATGAAGAATACATGTAAACAAACAGAATGAAGTGGGGTAGAGGTTTTGATGGGGGCAGGGTGTGGGGTATTGGGAGCAGGTGGGGGGCTCCCTGACCCCTGAGTGAGTCCAATGCAGTGAAGATCTCATTACATGTGAAGGCTGGGAGAATGAACACATTTTGAATTAGGCTGGACGTCTTCTGAGACTTGTCCCAGGATGAAAATGACCTCCCGGTGTGTGTTCGATGCTGCCAGTTTTCCTGCCAGGCAACACCTGCTGTAGCACCTGTAAGCCTTATGCTGATGACTATTAATGATACTCTCTCCCTGCATTGTGGTCAATTGCAGGGGAAAGCAACATCAACAGCCCCTCCATATCACGTGTGCCTTGGCCACTACCAAAAAGACCTGTGTCTCCCCTGGTGCTGCTGGGGGGCAGGCCACCCATTTCAGCAAGTCGCTCGGGTCATAGGTGACAGCAGGTGACTCTTGCCTGTAGCAAGCAAGGCCTTACCTTTCCATATGACTCCTCTTCCCCGAATGTTCGTTTTGTATCTTTGGATTTCAAGCTCTTCTCAGAAAAGGGACTTAGTTTCCCTATTTATGATTTTTTCCATGTTATCCATTCAAAACACCACGAGCAACAAAAAAGCAAATTCCCATATGTACTTATTCATTCAACAAATTTGTGCAACAGTGGGTGTGACACAGAAGTCACTAATTCACTACCCAGAACAGCCCCTGTGTTAGCCTCTTGGGTATGAGAAATAAAGACTTTTCCGAACTTCGATACGACATGTGGGTGTAAGGTAGTTTTTCTGGAGTCTGGTGGAACTAGGCTTGGATCCCAGATTCAATATTTTCTAGCTGTAAGACCTTGGACAAGTTGCTTATTTCTGCAAACCTCAGTTTCTTTCTATAGTCCTGTTTCCACAAGATACTAAGGAGGATTAAATGAGATAATGGGCATAAAATACTTATCTCAGTGCAGGCATTTCACAGAGCATGATAAATGAAAATATTATAGCTATTGCTGCTTTTTCTGTTGTCCCCATCTCTCATGCCTTGTTGTTTTCCTCTGGGATTAAGATTGATGTTAAAAGGAAGATCCTGAAAGACAGAAGGGGACATGCTGGAGAAATCATGCCCACGGCCTTATTTTCAGCAGTGGGAGAAGGGTGGTTGCTTCATGATCTGAGGCAAACACTGTGATCATTTCTAAGTCTGAAGAAATGACCTAACACTATGGGAGCCTCTACATACGTGCTGGCTTTGCCTTTTTAAATTCTGTTTTGTTTCTTGTAAAGAGTGAATTCCTAAATATGGCCAGGTTTCCCATCCCTTGCTGAATATCATGAGGCATCTTTCCCTGATTGTTAAGGGCCCTCATCAACCCTACCTGAGACTCGTATGGTCTCTCCTCCCCTGGTGGCCATGGGCAATTCTCAAAGTAGGTATCTGGACACACTCCTGGGAAAAAGGTGCAGAACAATTGGTGTGTTAACGAACTGGGCTCTGTTCTACCTGGAGAACACTCCCTCCTTCCGTCTTGCAAAGCAGTGCTTATAAATAACCGGGCATTACTTTTGAACTGTGAGTCTATAGGATTATTTCCACACCCTATTTTATTTCTTAAGAGAGACTTTCCTTTGGGTAGGGCCATCATTTTCTTTCTGCTGTTTATCTCTCCATTCACATTGCTGTCATTCTGATAACAAAACATCAATAAGAGTTACATAAGAATAGTAGTAGACATTCAAGTCACGCTTGCAGGCACTAGGCTAAATACTTAGTGAATCAGCACCATGACATCTGCATGGTCCAGAAGCGAAATGGAGGCCCCGAGAGGTCAAGTTATTGCTAAATCGTAGGAGGTAATGAAACCACTTTTTTAACTCAGGCAGCCCATCTTGGGCATCCTTAACTTCTACCACTAATCATATTTGTCTTTCCCACTTGATGTTTTATGGTTTATAAAGCAGCTCCATATAGAAAATTCACTTAATACTCATAACCAGCTTGCAATGCTGGTTACTAATATTTTTCCATTTTATAAATGAGGAAGCAAGGTTTTAGGAAGTGTTTGCAATTTACCCAAAGTTTCACAGCTAGTAGCCTTCCAGCTGGAACTGGGAGCTAAGGTTTCTAACTACAAATAATATTTCCATATAGCACACTTATCCAGTTTGACAGAAGATGTCAAGCAGGGAATTTGCATAACAACTGCTCATTTGAAGAACAGTTGAATCTCAAGTCTGTTCACCCTCTTACCATAATTTTTCCTGATGTAAAATTGCATTTGGGTATTGAAAATGCTTCCCAACAACCCTGTTCTCCAAGGTCTGGTTTTCTTTTTTTCTTTCCTTTCACGCAGGAAAAAAAAAAAAAAAAAAAAAAAAAAAAAAAAAAAAAAAAAAGAAAGAAAGAAAGCTAATTGAAATTCAAGCTGTGGTGTTATGAACTATGAGTCAGAAGAAAAGGAGCACTTAATCACTTAATGCAATGATTGTCTTTTCAAGATAGCAAAGGGGAATAGGACAGAGGTGGGGGTACAGAGAGGAGCATGAAAGAGATCTTATGGAAAAGCCTTTGAAAACACAACTCCTTGATCTTTGCAGTCTTTTTGGAGCCTTCCTGTGTGACTCAGTATGTTCCTTTCTTTCTTTTTTTTTTTCTTTTTTTCTTAAATGTTTATTTATTTATTTTGAGGGGTGGGGGAGAGAGAATCCCAAGTAAGCTCCATGCTGTCAGTACAGTGCCCAACTCAGGGCTTGATCTCACAAACTGTGAGATTACGACCTGAGCTGAAATCAAGAGTCAGATACTTAACTGACTGAGCCACTAATGTTCCTTTCTTATACTTTGTCTAGTAAAGAGGAAGTTAGCTGACTGTCTTTCTGTATCTGCTTTGGTGCTGGAAGACACAGCCACATGTGTCTGTTCGTTATCAGGGTCAGGTCTTCTTTATGAGTGTCCATCCATTATCCATCTGGGATACCTGGGTTACCTCTATGTTGTTTATGAGACCAGGTTGGATTTGTTTCGTAGAGTCCAGCTTAGCTACTAGGAGGGCAGATTCAGTCCTTGCCAACTTTTGCCTATCTCCTCCCGCCGCTTCTTTTCATCCTCTGTATTTAGGCTCCAAGGTCATGGTTTATGACAAAACTCGCATGTAGTTACAATTATTCTAGAAGACTACTTCTCTGAGTTGATGCACACTGCATTGTCCTAATAAGTCCATTGCACAGCCAGCTTTTCCCTCAAGCCTTGAATTAAGTTTCTGTTTCCTTGGCTTTCTTATTCAATGAAGTGGTTGGATTGTGGTTAGAACCATGAGGTCTAAACATGTTCATTTTGGGGACAAGTCCTAAAATGGCGGTGGAGTA